TGTACAAACCCACATCTGGAGATTTAGTTTTGACCATGTTTCTCCTCCAACCAGCAGGCAGTTAAAGCCTGAAACTCTGTTGTGCTTTAGCATCAACACATGTAGGTTCAGAGCTATAGGTGAACCTGGGAGGACCTGACCCAGGAGGGAAATCCAGCTTTTTGCACCAACATGGATCCAAACAGAAACACATGCACACATGCATGGTACTGTTGGGACTCATATTTCTGAGCGCACTCTTGTGCATTTACTGCCTTCCCTCTGTAGACCCGAAAGCAAATACAAGAAGAGGTTAGATAAACACACTCCCTTCCACATGAGGTACCAAGGCAATGGATCTGTGAAATGTAGCACGCTGTAAACCCATTTCCCCTGCTGAACATTATATGGGAGGAGGAAGGGGGGAAACAGAAGGAACCGAGCAGAAACTGGAGAAGAGGAAGATGGAGAAAAGTAATGAAATGTTAAAATCTGGCACTCAAGAATCCCAACCTTGGTTGCCTGGTGTCCTCAACTAGAAAAACTGTCTACATTTAAAGATTTGTGAATTTTTCCTCAGAGCAATAGCAGCATCCATGATTGATTGTTGAAAGTGGTGGCACCGTGTATGAACGACCGTAGATGCTATAAATGGGAGTCTGTGAGTATTTTTATTAGAAACAGCTGCAAGAAGGAGGAAATTTGAAACAGTGATTGTACCCTGAAGGTTTTTCTTTCATAAAAGAGACGTAAAGCTGTTCAAGTTTGCAACATCTTTCTTAGTGTTTGAAATTTGCAGTTTTACTCCTGAAAAGGAGGTTTTACGTGTTAACTAGAGGTGGATGACGTATTGAATTCCTGTCAGCATCTCTGCCTGAATGTGTCCAGGTTTTCATGCAAAAGGTGCTTCCTGCAGACAGACTGTTAGAGTTCAGTTCTTTACCCGCTCAACTTTTGAGACATTTCAGTTTGCAGACTCTGAGGCCCATGCGGGGCTTTGGCATGATTGTTAATGAAACAATGCAGAAATGCTGCAGTAGATACCGTGGTTGGTTGAAAACTCTTTTCCACAGCTTTTGTAGGGAAATTTCTCAATATGCGTACTTGTGCGTTCTCATGCTTTCGAGAAACATCATCAGCCTCAGCCTGAGCACTGTTCCTATTAACAAGAACACATGAACAAGAACATGCGGAAATCCTCCGATGTCATTTTCATTGCTCCCTCTTTACCAAGCATGCACCAGAGCAGACTTGGGCCCAGTCCCAATGCCCACACTCCTGCCCTTGTGCACTTCAATTGCACTGTGGGTTTGAGTTTATAGTGTGTCCCAATGCTCCACAAAGGTCTTTGGGCCCGCCTCCATACGCCCTTCATCCACACTTGAGATAAGCGTGCATCAAAGCAGACTTCGGTGAAGTTAATTGCCTACTATTCATTGCTGTATGTGACAATTTAAATATAAAAACAGAAATGGGGTGACTAATAGGCTCCTTTGCTTTTCCATTTGATTTTGATAAACATATAATTTCCTGTAAATCATCCACAAATCTCAGTCAGATAGTTTCTGTTCTCTAAACTGAAATTCAATTACATGACGCTGCTCCTTCTGAAGCCGAGGTTCGACCATCAGCAGAACTCTCCTCTCCAGCACCCGGGCATAGGCCTTCCCGGGGAGGTTGAGGAGTGTGATCCCTATAGTTGGAACACAACCTCAGCTTAGCCTTTCTGATGCAGGGGAACCACAACCCAAGTCTGCAAGTCCAGGGGTACTGTCCCTGACCTCCACTGGATGTTGAAGAAATTTCAGTATTTTAGAATACATTCATTTTATGTACATATGGTTGTGTTATATGGTGGGGGGGGGGGATCAAACATATATGATTAGATAAATTAAATAAAAAACAGGCCACCTAAAAACAAATATATTAAGGTAATTTGGGACTTAAAAGGCTTCAGATAATAGGAGTTTTTCTGTAGACCGAACTCCTTTTGTGTACTGTATGGTGTTAACAGACGGGTCATCAGCTGCTCGTCTGAGCTACCAGTTTGTTTATAGTAGATGAACTCTGGTCCTCGCCGTCGGTCCAGTACTAATATCCCAAACTTATTTTAGGATCAAACAGCTTCTTGTGTTTGGTGTTCCAGAGGCATCTCTTTGCTCTGACTGTGTCACATCTGAGGACTGTCTCTGGTCTTTGGAAGCATGCTGCTCAGGTTGGAGGAGATAAGAAGGTGCTCTTAAAATAAGACATTTAAAAATTTTAAATAAAATTAATAAGGGAAATATTCAATTTCTGATACATAAATTTAGAGCAAAAACAAGTTCATTTCTACAGCGTCCCTCAGCAAACACCAGTCTGAATGGGTCTCAAACTCGACTGTTAGAATTTTTACTTCCTTTTCTGTTAAAACTGTACTTAGTTCCCACTGGTCTGGATCTGCTTGCTGGATCCTCCTTTTGTCATGTTCATATTTCCTTTTACTCTTTCAGTGTTCTCCTTGTGACTCTACCTGTGTGTTGTCCTCTGAATCTTTGGTCCTTTACCCAATCGTCAAACCAGGACAGTAAATTGATGGGCATAAACATAAAACAAAAATCTAAGGATTAATGTTTTATTGTTTTTTTTTATAATTTAATTCATCTTATCTTCTACCAGCTTACAGATTCTGATACCAGCTGTGGATCCCATTTACATTCTGTTGGTAGATTCTGGTTTCTGTCAAAGAGCTGTCAAGGTGTAGCTTCTGAAAACTGTAAAACACAAATATAATTGACTCAAACGTCACTGACAGTTATGATTGAATCGACACTGAAAAAAATTAAGAAAAACCAAGTAATTCTTAAAAATTTACTTAGATATACCGGCAAACAAAAAACAAAAACAAGGTTCAAACACAAAGAAAAGACTAGACACTTAACATCAGACTGTGACTATTGTAACACAATGAACAACCCCAAATACTTTAACATTTCATTAAAAATTTAAGTTAATCTTGTTGAAACAATTGCATAAAATGTATTAGTAGTTCAATAATCAATATATTAACAGATCTCTTAATTCATGGCTTGGGGCAGCAAACCCTGTAGGTTTATGCATGATGTTTATTTATAGACTGACCAGTGTCTAAATGTTTTCTGTAAATTAATTTATGTATCTATGTGATAAAAATGGGCCAGAATCTTTTAGAGTCCTTTTTGACATGCAGGGCTTTCTAGAAATGGAGCCATTTTCTTCCCCTTGGCTGAGTTATTGAGGGGATGTCTGATGAAGTTTACAGTTAGGCATGAGGGTGAGGGAAGGGTCTGCTTTTGGCTTGGAGGGGGGCGACCCCCATGCCGCTCGGGTTCAAATGCTTCCCTTTCTCAGAACTTGCCGCGCATGTGGCGGAGTGATGGGGGTAGGGGGGCGGCATCTAAAAGAGGTGAAGAGGAGAGCGATTTGACTGGAATGCCGGGACCTCAGGTTACCACTGAGCAGAGCGGTGCCAAGTCGTATGCACCCACTCATGAAAAGACACACCCATGTAGTAATTCATATCACTCCCACTATGGCAGGACGGGAGCCACGTGGCCTGTCAGGATGCTATTAATGTTGGTCCTTTGCTTTTGATCTTTATTTAAATGAATCTACATTCATATAGTTTAACCTCTAATGCATCTAAAACTGATCCGACTCTGAGTCTGCTGCATAAGCACATCAGTTTACATCCACATTCACACTCCTGCAGGTATAGAACTAGTCTGGTTAAGGTCATTTAGGTTCCAGCTAACCACAGACCTCATGTTAGGCTGAATCAGGAGCCCCATCTCCTTACTATCACCTCTTGTGGCCCCATCCTATGAAGGTCCACGCAGATGTTTGAGTTTTCTGTGATTTGGTGTCTGAGTTTATACCACTTGCTTTACCTGAAAGCAACATGATTGTGCAGAGTCTGATTGAACACACTAAATAATAGACATTTTAAAATGATTTGAGGCCCAAAGTTTGAGTCCTGCCCCACAGGTCTGAGGGAGGATTTTCCACTTTAATGGTTGCGAGGCAAGAATTATTTGTGCCATTTTATCCTAATTTCTAAACTTTGATCCAACTGTATGATGTTGTCCAGGTGAACGTTTAGTAAATCACTAACTCTCAAGTTAATTTCTCATGCTGGTTTAAAAGCAATATATATATATATAATGGTTTTAAATAAAGCTTTAAAAATAAAAAGTGAGTCTGCATGCCTGTCAAATGAAGGTAATCTGTTTCCTTGGTCACTTTTCTGCCCATGCTATGTCTTTAGAAAATACTTCTGATCTTCACACCTGAGCAAGTGAAAAGATGAAGTAGGTGACAGATTCTCTGGGGCAAGCCAGTTTTGAAATCAATGCAAAAACAAACCCATATTGTCTGAATTCCTGCTAAACCACAAATATATTTGCTCCTGTTTCGTTGTATCAGTTAAAAGTGGTGAAGTCACTGAAGTTCTGTTTAGCCCAGTGTTGTTCATTTCACTTGTCTGAGTAAAATGTAATAAAATGATGAATTGAAATTTCAAAATAATTTTTTAACAATCAGTTTAACTTTTTCAAATCAAAGTTAGGATAGCCCTTCAGTCTTACACTCAGTGACCCGTCTGTAGCAGTAATCTGCACTTATTGCTCAGGCTTAATAGATTGAAGGACTTGTTTTTTATTCTGGTCCACCTTCTGTAGGTTCTACTGCTTTCAAGCAGGACCCTCTATTAGGTGGTTCCATTTTTTTTGTGCTCTTTTTGAAATCATAAAGTGTTTTGATAAATCTCTGTTCAGTGAAGATTGTTCCAGTTCTGGTTCTAATCAGTTTTAATCAGATATGATCTAAATTAGTTTGAAAACAGTGCATTGCCTCTTTAACTCTTTGCTAAAGTAAACAGTGCCAATCACAGGCCGACTTTTTAAATGTTTCTTTCTTGGACCACATGAAATAAAAAATGAATATTTAGTTTTCCATCATAGTTCTGACACGTCTAATGAGCCTTTCTGTTCTTCTGCCACCAGATGACTCCAGCGTGAGGAATGGAGCTGGGGAACCTACAGGGGACTCTGTGCACCCACCAGACCTGGCAGGGAAACTAGGTAAGAAGCAAACTCTACACTGATAAACAATCAAATAAACACAGCAGTTGGTTCAGACTGTGCCGGGATCATACTGAGGTCTAGTTTGTAAAATATCATAGTTTTGTTATTAACTAACTTATATTTTTTTGTTTTGAATCTAGACAAATATGCAACTTTTACCTTAAAACACTCTTTACTCTGAAATATAAACAGTTTGTCCGTCAGACAGTCTGGAGGATGGCTGCTCTAATCCCGACACTCTTCTTCAGTCTATGGATCTTAGAGGGATCCTCTGTGGTTTAATCCTGATCTATATAGAAATTTTTAAGAAACTCTGGATTCAAGAAGTTTGGAAAAAACATGAAAAACCCTGAAATGATTAAATCAATGAAAGAGAGCTTACTTTGTGTAAACTCAGGCTCAGATGAAATACCTGACACCTTGTCAGTGTTTTATGCTCTACTACCTGAGGATGGATGGTGAATAATTTGTGTGTGTGTGTGTGTGTGTGTCCTGTTTAGCCAATGTAGCTCTGGGAAATATTGTCCCAGAGATAGCTAATAGCCCAACAGATCTGCTTTCACAATCAGACCAGTATGACTGTTGCCATAAGATTCTGCTTCATATTTGTATATTAAAAATGTTTCAACATTATTTGGTGAGTAATATCGTACACAACAGACACGGGAAGAGAAGTGCGAAAGAATGAGGGGAGAAGAACTAAGGGGACAGATGGAGAGAGTTAAAAAGAAGACAAAGAGCAAAAATAGACAACACAGAAGATTTACAGTAACTCCTATAAGTCTATTTTCATACCTGTATCAGATGAGAGGAACAGAAAACAGAGAGCATAACAGCAAAGAGAAGACAACAGACCACCAAAGTAAACTTGACAAAGCTTTTTCAGAAGGAAATTATGCTTAGTAGCAGGTGTCTGCAGCCCCAGGTTAGCCCTANAGAGAGTAAATGTAATTTCATTTCCCTTGTATGTCTTGTACATATGTAGAAAATGACAATAAAAGCTGACTTGACTTGACTTGACTCTCCAGCACCCGGGCATAGGCCTTCCATAGGTTGAGGAGTGTGATCCCTATAGTTGGAACACAACCTCAGCTTAGCCTTTCTGATGCAGGGGAACCACAACCCAAGTCTGCCAGTCCAGGGGTACTGTCCCTGACCTCCACTGGATGTTGAAGAAATTTCAGTATTTTAGAATACATTCATTTTATGTACATATGGTTGTGTTATATGGTGGGGGGGGATCAAACATATATGATTAGATAAATTAAATAAAAAACAGGCCACCTAAAAACAAATATATTAAGGTAATTTGGGACTTAAAAGGCTTCAGATAATAGGAGTTTTTCTGTAGACCGAACTCCTTTTGTGTACTGTATGGTGTTAACAGACGGGTCATCAGCTGCTCGTCTGAGCTACCAGTTTGTTTATAGTCGATGAACTCTGGTCCTCGCCGTCGGTCCAGTACTAATATCCCAAACTTATTTTAGGATCAAACAGCTTCTTGTGTTTGGTGTTCCAGAGGCATCTCTTTGCTCTGACTGTGTCACATCTGAGGACTGTCTCTGGTCTTTGGAAGCATGCTGCTCAGGTTGGAGGAGATAAGAAGGTGCTCTTAAAATAAGACATTTAAAAATTTTAAATAAAATTAATAAGGGAAATATTCAATTTCTGATACATAAATTTAGAGCAAAAACAAGTTCATTTCTACAGCGTCCCTCAGCAAACACCAGTCTGAATGGGTCTCAAACTCGACTGTTAGAATTTTTACTTCCTTTTCTGTTAAAACTGTACTTAGTTCCCACTGGTCTGGATCTGCTTGCTGGATCCTCCTTTTGTCATGTTCATATTTCCTTTTACTCTTTCAGTGTTCTCCTTGTGACTCTACCTGTGTGTTGTCCTCTGAATCTTTGGTCCTTTACCCAATCGTCAAACCAGGACAGTAAATTGATGGGCATAAACATAAAACAAAAATCTAAGGATTAATGTTTTATTGTTTTTTTTTATAATTTAATTCATCTTATCTTCTACCAGCTTACAGATTCTGATACCAGCTGTGGATCCCATTTACATTCTGTTGGTAGATTCTGGTTTCTGTCAAAGAGCTGTCAAGGTGTAGCTTCTGAAAACTGTAAAACACAAATATAATTGACTCAAACGTCACTGACAGTTATGATTGAATCGACACTGAAAAAAATTAAGAAAAACCAAGTAATTCTTAAAAATTTACTTAGATATACCGGCAAACAAAAAACAAAAACAAGGTTCAAACACAAAGAAAAGACTAGACACTTAACATCAGACTGTGACTATTGTAACACAATGAACAACCCCAAATACTTTAACATTTCATTAAAAATTTAAGTTAATCTTGTTGAAACAATTGCATAAAATGTATTAGTAGTTCAATAATCAATATATTAACAGATCTCTTAATTCATGGCTTGGGGCAGCAAACCCTGTAGGTTTATGCATGATGTTTATTTATAGACTGACCAGTGTCTAAATGTTTTCTGTAAATTAATTTATGTATCTATGTGATAAAAATGGGCCAAAAACTTTTAGAGTCCTTTTTGACATGCAGGGCTTTCTAGAAATGGAGCCATTTTCTTCCCCTTGGCTGAGTTATTGAGGGGATGTCTGATGAAGTTTACAGTTAGGCATGAGGGTGAGGGAAGGGTCTGCTTTTGGCTTGGAGGGGGGCGACCCCCATGCCGCTCGGGTTCAAATGCTTCCCTTTCTCAGAACTTGCCGCGCATGTGGCGGAGTGATGGGGGTAGGGGGGCGGCATCTAAAAGAGGTGAAGAGGAGAGCGATTTGACTGGAATGCCGGGACCTCAGGTTACCACTGAGCAGAGCGGTGCCAAGTCGTATGCACCCACTCATGAAAAGACACACCCATGTAGTAATTCATATCACTCCCACTATGGCAGGACGGGAGCCACGTGGCCTGTCAGGATGCTATTAATGTTGGTCCTTTGCTTTTGATCTTTATTTAAATGAATCTACATTCATATAGTTTAACCTCTAATGCATCTAAAACTGATCCGACTCTGAGTCTGCTGCATAAGCACATCAGTTTACATCCACATTCACACTCCTGCAGGTATAGAACTAGTCTGGTTAAGGTCATTTAGGTTCCAGCTAACCACAGACCTCATGTTAGGCTGAATCAGGAGCCCCATCTCCTTACTATCACCTCTTGTGGCCCCATCCTATGAAGGTCCACGCAGATGTTTGAGTTTTCTGTGATTTGGTGTCTGAGTTTATACCACTTGCTTTACCTGAAAGCAACATGATTGTGCAGAGTCTGATTGAACACACTAAATAATAGACATTTTAAAATGATTTGAGGCCCAAAGTTTGAGTCCTGCCCCACAGGTCTGAGGGAGGATTTTCCACTTAAATGGTTGCGAGGCAAGAATTATTTGTGCCATTTTATCCTAATTTCTAAACTTTGATCCAACTGTATGATGTTGTCCAGGTGAACGTTTAGTAAATCACTAACTCTCAAGTTAATTTCTCATGCTGGTTTAAAAGCAATATATATATATATAATGGTTTTAAATAAAGCTTTAAAAATAAAAAGTGAGTCTGCATGCCTGTCAAATGAAGGTAATCTGTTTCCTTGGTCACTTTTCTGCCCATGCTATGTCTTTAGAAAATACTTCTGATCTTCACACCTGAGCAAGTGAAAAGATGAAGTAGGTGACAGATTCTCTGGGGCAAGCCAGTTTTGAAATCAATGCAAAAACAAACCCATATTGTCTGAATTCCTGCTAAACCACAAATATATTTGCTCCTGTTTCGTTGTATCAGTTAAAAGTGGTGAAGTCACTGAAGTTCTGTTTAGCCCAGTGTTGTTCATTTCACTTGTCTGAGTAAAATGTAATAAAATGATGAATTGAAATTTCAAAATAATTTTTTAACGATCAGAACATCAAAGTTAGGATAGCCCTTCAGTCTTACACTCAGTGACCCGTCTGTAGCAGTAATCTGCACTTATTGCTCAGGCTTAATAGATTGAAGGACTTGTTTTTTATTCTGGTCCACCTTCTGTAGGTTCTACTGCTTTCAAGCAGGACCCTCTATTAGGTGGTTCCATTTTTTTTGTGCTCTTTTTGAAATCATAAAGTGTTTTGATAAATCTCTGTTCAGTGAAGATTGTTCCAGTTCTGGTTCTAATCAGTTTTAATCAGATATGATCTAAATTAGTTTGAAAACAGTGCATTGCCTCTTTAACTCTTTGCTAAAGTAAACAGTGCCAATCACAGGCCGACTTTTTAAATGTTTCTTTCTTGGACCACATGAAATAAAAAATGAATATTTAGTTTTCCATCATAGTTCTGACACGTCTAATGAGCCTTTCTGTTCTTCTGCCACCAGATGACTCCAGCGTGAGGAATGGAGCTGGGGAACCTACAGGGGACTCTGTGCACCCACCAGACCTGGCAGGGAAACTAGGTAAGAAGCAAACTCTACACTGATAAACAATCAAATAAACACAGCAGTTGGTTCAGACTGTGCCGGGATCATACTGAGGTCTAGTTTGTAAAATATCATAGTTTTGTTATTAACTAACTTATATTTTTTTGTTTTGAATCTAGACAAATATGCAACTTTTACCTTAAAACACTCTTTACTCTGAAATATAAACAGTTTGTCCGTCAGACAGTCTGGAGGATGGCTGCTCTAATCCCGACACTCTTCTTCAGTCTATGGATCTTAGAGGGATCCTCTGTGGTTTAATCCTGATCTATATAGAAATTTTTAAGAAACTCTGGATTCAAGAAGTTTGGAAAAAACATGAAAAACCCTGAAATGATTAAATCAATGAAAGAGAGCTTACTTTGTGTAAACTCAGGCTCAGATGAAATACCTGACACCTTGTCAGTGTTTTATGCTCTACTACCTGAGGATGGATGGTGAATAATTTTTTTGTGTGTGTGTGTGTGTGTCCTGTTTAGCCAATGTAGCTCTGGGAAATATTGTCCCAGAGA